GATTCTCTGTCTGCCCTCTTTCATCTTCACACGTACCATGCCGATGGTGACCAATGATTCGCCATACTTCTCTCGGATGGGCTTCCAGGAATCCAGCCAGTACTCTCCTGCCGCGGATTCCACGTCGATCGATTGCCTCGATCCATCGATCTGCTTGAAGACTTAACACAGGGACGCGAATGTCTTCCCTACACTGAAAAATGTTACTACCTTGGTCGCGTGTATCGCCCTTCTATCTTTTTGCTGCCTGGAGCATTTTCAACTCCTTTTCGTCTTCTTCTGATTATGCTTAATCGTATTTAAGGATGGGGAGAATCTTGAGATCAGCATGCTTTCGACAAACAGCCCGTCCGCTACCCCTGAGACCAACGGTAAAGCAACGTAGGACTGCCTTTCAAAAAACCTCAGCCAGGTGTGAAGCTTCGGAGCATTCCCAATGTTCCTACTTACCGAGCATCTTACATGTTCTGCCCACCTCGTTACTATCGTCCTTACTGTATATCCAATATAGAATCGCCTATAGTAAGGACTAACTATACCATATACCCCGGACCGACTAACGTTAGTTTTTTCAGGTTCGACAAATTTTAACAGCTTTCTAATCCATGGAACGTGCCCTGTCACGATCATCAGAGGCAGAAGCAGTGCTAATTTGTTTTTCTCATCCCTGTTCATCAACGGTCGTATCTTCTGTGTTTCCCTATACCTCCTTCTTTCGGTCAGTTCTCTGAACTTGATAGCAGCGGCACGAGTCGCAATCTGGTAAGCCATTACGGAGCATCAAGCCCACCAACCCGCGAAGTCGGCGTCTGACTCTTCAGCTGGAAGAGCCCTTCATACGCGAGTCATGTACGACACCTTACGATCTCTTGAATGGAGACGTCCTTCTTGACGTATACAACACCTTCCTTGCCACAAATCTTCCGAATCTCCCCCGCTCTCATTGCACTCAGCAACTTCGTTTGAGAGAGGGCGAAGTTAACCAAACCTTCGCTCGAGCATTCCGCGGGACAGGCCTTCTTCGGAGTTACGAAGCCTTCATCACTTGGCGAGAGGTTGTCCATCTGAGCCTTATCGATTCTTGGCGTAGGTACCTTCTTTGCCCAACTGACAGCTGCTCGCATGAACGCAGCGCCCCCCTTAGGTTTCCTTTGACTCTCCTGCGCCTCAATCAGCTTTTCAGCCTCCTTCTTCACTTCGTCACTATCATCTTCAGATTCGGCAATATAGCTTGTGATATCTCGCAGCATACGTGCCTTGGAGCGTGGCGACTTCTTCTTGATTCCACTCCCCGCCAGCGGTGTGGGACTTACCATCAACGATGCTCTCTGCTGCGTAAGGATCCTCACAATGGTCGCTTCTAGCTTAGCTTCTCTCGCCTGTTCCTCCCTAAGTTTTTCACCCTCCCGCCGTTCCTCCTCTTTACGTTTCACCTTATCTATCTCACGCTTCTTCCTCTCCTCCTCCTCTTTCTCTCTCCTACCAATTCGAAGAAGTATCTCCCTTATTTCACTATTGTCTTCCTCTGGTCTTTGTCTATTCGTGGCCTGCCAGCAATTCCGTGCATAGTGGTCATTCTTCCTGCATATGTAGCATGTTACGACGCCATACTGTGCGGCTACCCCACTCCCCGGTGCAGCCCCTTGCTGACCAGCGACACCCATCCATTGCATCGCACGATTTATCGGACCAAGTCCTCCCATAGCTTGGCCGATCCCTCCCTGCCCTCCCATGTTCAGCGCACCTAAACTCGTCATCGTCGGTGCGCCTACTCCCGCCATCCCTGCTACTTCTCAAACTAGGCTATTCACCACAAAAAGAGCACGTCTGATCTGTGCAAGGACACGATAAAAACGTCGTACGGCACTTGAAAGAGCTCGTATAACCCGCACTTTGTACACCCTCGAAGCGACTTTCGCACGTCTAACCGAGAGGGGGGGGGAGAACATGGGGAGGGAAAAAAAAAAAAAAAAAGATCCGGGGGTGCAGGTGCATGCATGTCGGAAATAAAAAAGGGCGTCAGCCAGGTCCGTCCGGCAAAAGGGAACCCCCAACCCTGTGACTCCTGTTCGCGGGTTCAGAATCGGGGTGGGAGGTGAGGATGAGAACACTCTCAGGCAGCGTGTGAGATTGCGTGCAATGCGAATTGCAGAGGGGCTGGCCGTGGACACGTACGAAGGGACGTCGGGAGGGTGTCACGGCCCTGGTTCCGGGGTTGTCGGCATTGGGCATGGCACTCCTGGTGCCTCGGGCACTGCGTCTGGAGGGAGTGACACGCAGGAATGTAATGAACGAAGTCCTGCTGTGTCATTGTCTCAGGTTGGGCATGAGGGCGATGCTGTGTGGAGGCGCACTTCCCCGAATGGCGGTGTGACGCAACCACGATCTCCCTCGGCCGTCTCGCAACGTGGCAGCGCACGAACACAAGAGTCGTCGGCACTTGCGGCACACACTAAAAAAATCGAAAAAAAAAAAAAAAAAAAAAAAAAAAAAAAAAAACGAAAAAAAAAAAACATGATAAAAAAAAACAAAACAACAGCCTCGAGCACATTAACCGGGCAAACGGACATATCGGACAATAGGTGCAATAGTGGTGAAAGCACAACCTTCCTGGTTTACGTCGAATGAGAAAACCAACGACGGTTCTCCGTCCGTACGTGTCGCCAACGTTTCGTCGCGCTTTATTTTTTTTTGTACCTCGTTCGTCTTTTGCTTTTTTTTTTTTTTTTTTTTTTCTATTCTCGTCGTCGACGCCTTCGTTTTTTTGGGCCTGTTGTTGTCATCGTCGCCTCCAGCACACCATGTTGCGCACCGAGAAAGACGAGATCGCGCAGACAAAACGGCTCCCGTTCGCAATCTCTGACGGGCGGCGCTGCGTACCCTGTCCGCGACCAGCTTCCGGATTTGCTCGGCGCCATGACCAGACCGCAATTGCCGCCGCGACCAAGACTTCGCCGTGCGGGAGGATTTGTTGCCCGTTTGTGTTTTTTTATTTTTTCAACCAACCCCTCCATCTCATTACATAGCTCGCCCGTTCTTTTTTCTCAACCGTGCGCCTCCGCGACCCGCGCAGCCACGAGAACATCACGGTTCACTACTGCGGGCCACATAAAGGTGAAATGAGGTCGCTTGCGCCGTCGTTTCCTCGCACTAGTAAACTGCATTGCTTGGAACTTAACAACGCTAATTTTCCAACACACACTTGTTGGAAGCGTGTTGGAAACATGTTGGACCAACGTTGAAGGCATGTTGAAAACATGTTGGCCGCATGTTCGTAAACGGTTGAAAACATGGACCCGACCGTTCTAAGTGGTTGGTCACATCATTTCACGTAGTTCCAATGTTGGTCCAGTGTTGTGCCCAAGTTGAAAACTTGATGGAAATTTCCCACAATTTTTCTGTTGTAGGATGACCAGACTCGTTATAGTCTGGGTGTCCTGGCGTGAGGTGCGTCAAAGGGTTATCGTACTCGAGTAGTGGGTATGGTGGTCCTAACGTGGAGGCAGGCTATAGGGGTTATGGAGACAAATGGTATGATTAGTCCTGGGCTGAGGCGGACTGAATAAGGGATGTAAGACTGAAGAGAGGTTTGTCACCCCTGGCCAGTGGTGAGCCAAAACCAAGGGAATTGATGACTCATGGATGAGAGAATTATTTATATTATATTATTTTATTATGGGTTTGATTTAATTAATTTATTTAATTATTGTTTTTGTTTTTTTTGTTAGGGAGTTTGTCTGTTGGGAAAACGGTTGGTTATTTGTGAAACTTGTCGTTGTTGAGCGCATCGGTCCCTCAGTGAGCACGACCCTCCCGACCTCGTCACGCAGGAGTTTCCGTAGCTGCTCCGACCGAGTGCATCATCCATACCTTTCACGAGCCCCTATGACAGGATAGGGGCTATGCGAGGTACATTTTTACCTCTACATGCGGGAACTGTCACCTCCCTTCGGTGGGTGTATCCCCACCGAGCCACCAGTCCACAGTACGAAAGCTAATGAGTTGCAATAGCAGAGGTCGGTCAGCCAAGGGCGTTTCTCGTACATTGTAGCATAGGGGGTACGCACGGTCTCAAGCCTCTATCGGACCTACATGCAAACCGACGCATTGGGGGGCTCGAGTCCCAAGCGCGACTCGTCATCGGTCGACTAGGACGCAACCCACTCACCATGTGTTTTGTTCTAGTGTGTCATGCAAATAATATGCATTTATTTTGATTCATAACAGCAAATAATATACAATTATTAATCATAAATTCTAGTGTGTCATGCATGTATCAATTTCGTCAGAATACTAGCTTTGAGAACTGTGACAAGATCATCAGGAATAACACATTTATCAAGCAAGGCCAAAGCAAGAACGAAGCAAGATTGACTGACACGGAACAGGGGCAAAATAAATGAGGGAAAAGTGAGAACTCATAATAATCTCAAAGAGTACAGGTGGATGGACACTGTCAGCACTAGTCACGAGTCCTCACTCATCTCTCTAGAGTCTCCTCGTCAATATCTCGATCGCTCGTACGTCTCTTGTGCCTCGAGCCATGCCCATGTACCTCTTGAAATTGTGACCTCTGAATGTAGAGTCACCTGAAGCCCGCTAGTTACGAACATTTTCATCCAAGACCCATGACACGAAAGTCAACCCTAACACAAAATTTTTCCCACAATGTAGGAAGATATGACCGCGAGAAAATTCCTCGCCTTAGATGCCGGAACTCAGACGGTTCGGTTACTGCCTCATAATCAACTCTGCGGACTAGATATACCTTTTGGCTAGGTCACCCCAACAAGAGTCGTCCGTGAGAAGGAAAGGGATTGGAGGCTTGGGGTAGTCGATGTGGAGCTTGGGCCCGAAGCTACGAATCAACTTAGTACCACTCTCATCAAGCTCCCTCTCTTTTGCCTCAAGATACTTTGCTGCAGAGATCCAGACTGATTCACAATCCTCATGGGTTTCCTTACCTTTCTTCACATAGGGTCTTATGTCATGAATGATACCTCATGCGAATCTGGTGAGGACAACGAAGATTGACAGACCCCCTTGACTGAAGCCAATGGCACTGACGTATAGATACTGGATAACATCCTTGAGGGCTATTCAGTTGAGACTGGCTAAGACCGATTCACAGACAGGGGATGGCTGAATCGTACTCACGTGTTGGGACAGACACCACGGGGCTGACCCAAGTGTCCCCGATAAAGGTACTGATTGACTAATGTTGACCTAAGAAAAGATAGACGATGACTATGGCCGATTTCACTGATGAGTGGTCGTCAATATAAAATGGGACGCTTGGTAACCGCTAAGCACTTCAACACAGGTCGTGTGCCACTATTGACCGGATTCTGAAACAAGATTTAATCTTCAGAGTGACAATTGGCACAAACGGCTATCGGTTGGCTGAAAATTCATGAATGAAAATTATGAAGTGAGAATTTTGGGCAGTCTGAAAATCCTGAATGGTTCTGAAGTGGTGAAAGGTTCGAAGACCCTAAAAACCACCTGTTTTGTCAGGCTACATCCTGAAGTGGTGAAGGGTGTCCTGAAGTGGTTAAGTAAAAGTTTTGGACAGTCTGAAAATCATGAATGGTCCTGAAGTGGTGAAAGGTCCGAAGACCATGAAAACCACCCTTCACCACTTGAGGATGCAGCCTGCCTAAACATGCGGTTTTCAGGGTCTTCGGAGCTTTCACCACTTCACGACCATTCAGGATTTTCAGACCTGAATGGTCCTGAAGTGGTGAAAGGTCCGAAGACCCTGAAAACCACCTGTTTAGGCAGGCTGCATCTTGAAGTGGTGATGAAAAATACGACTGTTGTTAACCTTCTCTCACAATTGGCTTAGGGAAGTTTGGCAGAGAGGGGCAGAGAACGGCTCATTGATCTGTCTAGTAACTGAAAGTGTCTCGGCGACGATGAGCTCTGGATGAGAGTTGCTAAAAGTACTCTCGATGTTTAGTAATTATGAGGTGAATGGATAACTAACACCTACTATTAGCGGAAAGTTGGTATTGAATCTGGTTGGTTGGCAGACACTCGCAACCAACTTCTTTTAACAAAGTCGAGAGAGAGTCACTGTTCCCAAGGTCTCGACGTGGCCCGCTCAGCTGTCTCTGAGAATGATCCCGTGCTGTGCAAATTGTTGTTACAATCGTAGAAGTAGAACACATATTCGATATATGCCTTCTCTCTGATCCTGTTAAGTGCATTTTCCCTCAGGATCGACTTGCTAAGCAACATGTCTCGTATCGCCTCTACCTCCCAACCCTCATATTTTTGTATATGTCGATATTACACCCGATCACCAATACCTCTGAGTCCCTCATGTTTCCTGCTCCCTCATTCAAGACAGACTTGCGAGTAGTTGGGGAAGAATAAGGGGTGGGCTGCCTCGTGCAATGGCAAGCATATCAGGAGACCTATCGGCATCTATCAGATGCAGGTCTCAGTTACCATTTCATATTATCCCAACAATAACCAAATTAATATCGAATTTCCCCAACAAGAGTTATCTATACAAATATACTATGCCTAGTATGTCAGTTCTTGTTACTCGACAATAACAGGCTCTCCGCAGTCGCCTTAAGCCTGGACAGTTGAACGTAGTTAGCTTAGAGGGTAGTGGAGGGCCGGTTTATGAATTTTTCTCTTCATCGAGTTGCCTCAAACCTTAGCTTCTAACTTCCATTCGTTTGTATGGACCCGGACCTCAGAGCTAATCCCATACAAGGGAGAACTACTTTCGAGCATGAGGCTAGTCCAAACCCGGCTTGACTGAGTTGAGTGAAAAGATGTGTTCCCTCACCCGCTGGTACCCATCTCGAGCCTATCGATTTGGGTGTCCTTTCTCAGTGCTCGAACACTCAACCTGGACCTTGGGAGT